TTTCTTCTATCTATGTCGCATGTAATTCATTAAACATATTTGAAAAGTACCCATGAAATTCTGCTGGCATAATATTGCTTGTATTATTCTTTTTATATGTATAAAATATTTTACAAGTCCCGGGGTAAATCATCTTATTCTTGAGACTTACGGAACTTAAATACCCCTTTCTTTTCTCTTATCAATGATTTATACTTGCATTCAGCATTACATAGTTAATCCTTGTTTGATTGCGTTTTATTAAGATTAAAGGAACTAAGAACCTGTTTATACTCTTGTCGCGAAACTCTGCATTCATTATGATACCATTCTTTGTTACAATTGCTATAAACATTACAAACGGTATTGATTATAGTTATTTACAAATAAGTTGTTGCCAAATCGGTGATATATTAAGAAAATTCAGGTTAGATTAATGATAACATTGAACGTTTTTGCAACATACCACTATAACATTTTATTGAATACGATATTTATCATCTTAAATTAGGCACTAATTAGCAAATGATTTGTTAATTACCTGGCAAATACCAAAGAATAATAATTTGGTTTCGTGATCGGCTTGAAAACTTTTTGTTTCAATAATTTCAGTGTCAATTCATTATGCATTAAATTTACTAAGGAGGAAAATCCCTTATTTTGTTACTTTTATTATTATTATTTTTTAATTTTTATTATTATTATTATTATTATTATTATTATTATTATTATTTATTTATTTATTTATTTATTAATAAATTAATCAGTTATATGTTTCCTTAAAATATGAACAAATGAAGTTTTATTTTCAGTTTTAGTACGTATAGAATTTTGATTCGAACAACTGTCTGCGTTAAATAAATATTTTTCATACTGCGTAAAGCAACGGTTAGAGACGTAGGAAATATTGTGCTTTTGTGCTATTTGTTTTAATAAATTTGAAAACTAAACTCCTATCCGCTCTTTTTACGAATTGAAGTATTCCTATCTTTGCTGACTGTTCAGTATATTTTATAAGTTATAAATATTCTTGACATGTTATATGGCCCTATATAAACGGTTGTTTGGAAATATGACCCAAGCCGCAAGGCGTTTATGTATGTCAATATAACCTGTATGAAATATTTATGACGAAATTATAAAGCATTTTTTTTTTGAGAGAAAAGTGAGATTTCTTCATAAATGGAAAGCAGCCGTGTATATAGAACTATATAAACGTCACGATTATCCAATGAAAAGTGACGTTACAAACGTGAAGTATTATAAGTAATAAACGAACGTCAAGGTAGAATGATTCAGGATGTAGTTTCCTGCTGCACATTTCATCTTTTTTGGGGATTTCTATCTTCTTACCAATGTATCAGGCCAAGAAAATTTGTCATATTTCTTTCCAAATATGATTATAATTTAAAACCGGTCTTAATTCTTTATAACATCATGTAGGAAACATTGAAAGTAAACCGGGGTCTATCAGACCTTGTATCATAGTTTGGGGACCTTTCTGTTGAAAATGTGTCAGAGATAAATCGTATACATATACATGCACAGTCCATTAACTGGAGTTCAGATGCTCGATTATTGGTTTCTGTTCGGGGTTTCATATTGTGACAACAGGGAACGTGTTTTAATGCTGACTATGATACAAAAGAGAACTAACATCGGCAATCTAATTAATACTCTGGGTTTACGCCCCCTCGTACAAATCAGCCTCGTGTTTCAATGCTCTTTCTTTTACCTAGCAATGCCCGTGCTTTGAATAGAGGATTGTTATGTTCGTTAATATTTCTTTTCATACAATTTGATTGGTGATTTTCTGTACTTATTTTATATTTACTTTATTTTATGCTTCTGTGCCATGTTGACCACTGAAATATTCTTCTGAAAAAATATGTTTTGATATGGGGCGAATGTATCCAAGCATTTCATTCGACACATGGCAGTTCTTATTTATGAACAATTAATTTATTAACAATAACTATATTTACACATGGTATCTTAGCATTATTCTAATAACATAAAGTTATTACTTGAATTAAATATTAACAATCATTACCACAAGGCATGTCCATATGCCGTGAAATCCATTCAAAGTCAGTACAAAAAATGATAAATAAAACGGTTAAAATGACATAGAAAAGTTTTAGAATTGTCTTAAAATGGCCAAAACCGCTCATTTAATTATAAGGAAATTAAGAGGAGGAAATAACAGGAGGTATGTTTGCATTTATTGTACGGAATAAGACATTGACTGACACCTAATGTCAATTCGTTGAATGTTACTGGAACTGACAATAGTATTTAAATAATTGGTGTTTTGTATCATGCTTTGACATAACAACTTTTTGGAAAAAACTATTGAACTTGCTCAAGACCTTTATATTACATTGACAATATGGGCTTATTCCAAAATTAAGAAAAGAGACAGGACTTATGGCATAAATAATGTATAGGTTAATTCAACCAGATTAAGATTAAAAATGACTTCGGCTTGAATTTCCCTAAAATGTCCATACCTTTGCCTGATCGGATATATACTCTAAACATCACAATGACAAAATAAGTGTGTTTTTTTTAACTTCAGCTTCGCAAATGGTTTATAAATTGTGAGTAAAAAAACTGTTATAAATGAACGAATTTGAATAATACATATGATTACTTAAAAATTAAATCAAACTCTAGTGTCTTATTTTAATTCTGTATCATGTTTTGTGTTATTTGTGTACTTATTTTATTATTAATTAGACACAAAGTGATATTGGATATCACCATAGTTTTGATAAAACACAGATCGATCACGAAATTCCTAAATTTAAAAACACAAACAGGGACATAGTATTATACGCCTATTTTGTTCTTGGGGTTATGATATTTTTCACACAGTCAGGCGTTCGTCCGCCTAATGGCAATTTCTTGACTGCATTTTTAACCGATGGAAAGAATAAGAAGTTACTGATCCTTCATTTGGCAACATATAACCAATACAGCACGATTTGCTGAAAACCATTACGTAGTTACTTGTTTGCTCTGAAGCCAGCTTCTCAAACAGTCAAACTTTAATCTTGTACATATCTTATGGTTTATTAATTGTTTTATCTAACACAAGATATTTTAGATTTAACATTATTAACGGTTATTATTTCATGCTTTCCAGTGTTTTATTGTAATATATCAGATGATTTTATTATATACTTATAAATGAAATATTGAGAAATATTGATGAAATAAAATGCGTATTTTCATTTTCCGTATTTTCACTGTAAAAATTTATTTTTCACTGCAGTGAAACATATTTTCCGTATTTTCACTGGTGTCTTGCCGGACTACTTTCTTTTAAATTCTGCCAGTACACAAAATTTAAGGGAAAGTCTTTTACATTTTAATGTCAAAAAAAGAGAAAAATGTATATAATAAACAGAAAATTCAAGTTTTTTGCTATAAATATATGATTTATTTTCATCTTGTGGCATGAAAATTACCATATTTCACTCGTGGCTGCCGCCACTCTTGAAATGTTTATTTTCATACCACTCGATGAAAATAAATCATGTATTTATAGAAAAAACTTGAATATCCTCTATATATTCTGATAAACAACCAGTGAAATTTATAAAATATAATTTTCACTGTAGCCGGACTATATCTGAATGCGGATGAAAAGAAAATCATAATTAAATGGAATAACAGGCAGAAATAAAGGCCGTCATACGTAAATTTTGCTTCTTTAAGAAAAGAAAGTCGATGTCACCATACATCATGTTTAAAATGTAACAAAATTTTAGAAATCTAACAGAACTATATTTCAAAATTGATAATGTGACGTCATGATGTGATGACGTCACAAAGGAGAATGCGCGACGTTACGCGGAAAAAAACAGTAAAAAATAATTAAAATCACGTAAAAAGCATAAAATAAAAAGAAAATTTATTTGTTTTACATATAAGATTGAAATATATTTTATTCGTGAACACCAGCTACTATATTTTCACTTGTGGCTACGCCACTTGCGAAAATATTGCATCTGGTGTTCACTCAGTGAAATCATATTTCAACAAACAAATATCCTCCATACCATTGCATTTCAACTGTGGATGAATTATTGTGATCTATTTTTTTGTTTAATGATAGCGCGGTTTGTGTATTATCAAAATGATTGTTTCGGTAAAGTTTTATAAATTTATGCTCAATTGACATGTGATATCGACATCAAAAAATTTTTTTGAGGCACCTTATCATTGTTTACACTTTGAATATTACAATTCCTTCCCGGAAGGGCACCTGAGGTCTTCCTCCACCAGTAAAGCTGGAACGTCGCGATATGACCTATACTGTGTCGATGTGACGTAAAACCAAAAACAAACAAACAAAAACAAACAATTCCTTCCATAGTCTCTGTTCAGGCATGCATATTGAATTAAGATTGATTATTGCATATATAGATTATGTCAATAAATCATCTAATAGTTTTATTTACACAAATTGAATACCGACTTAAAAAGCAAAAAAAAACTATTTGAAGAAAAGCAATACAAAACTTGACGTGATCAATCGTTAATTTCATCTATATGAAAATCACATTAGCTTAAGTAAATCGGCTGTTTGGGCTGAAAGCGGTAAACTGATATAAAAAATAAACAGCAGAAGACACATTTTAAGCAAAATGATTAAACATATTTTTTGATCAATGTTGTAATACATGTATAATCTTATTCATGAAACTTGAATAAACAACTTTAAACCATAAAACTACTTGTAGTCCAATGGAACAGAAATATGACATTTGTATTGGCGTGCGGTTAATTTACCAGTTCAGTAGCGTTGTAGAATTAGAATGAAGAATAAATGACTTGTATCGAGGAGGTGCCAGATAAACAGGTCATTGCAAAAAAACATGGTAATAGTATGTCAAAAATATAGTTTAAGCTCAAACGCTTATTGATGTACTCGTACATTGATACTAGGGTAAATCTTAATAATTATACGTTTTCTTTTACAGGTGTGACATGATTATAATAAACTGACATGAAATGTAGTGTCTGGTCATGGCGGCTTTCCTACCTGGTACATCATCTTCGGGACGGATAGCTGATAATCGTATCTTCCTATTCCGCCTACAAATGCTAATTATAGATGGCGGACTTACATGTTTAAGAAATTATGTAGATCAGAAACTTGCAGCCCAATCATTAACTCTTAGTGCATGCCTTATTAATGAAAAGGCACAAATCAATTTTCTAAAGGGACGAAAGATAATAACACAGGTGCAATATGATTTATTGTATCCATCGCCATCGAGTGGCACTGTTTCAACGTCAGATTTGGACATCACACTCATCATTTGTCTTATGAGAAATCTGAAGTGTTTCAACTTAAACACAAAGTTTAAGTGGGACACTCAACCAGCACAGAATGACACTTCAATTGAGGCAGACATTTGTAGGCTGAAGTTCTTCAGAAACGAAGTAAGTTTTCAGAGTTCTTAAATCAATGTTAAATATTTAATCCAAAAACGTCGGTATATTTATTTTAGAATAAGACATTTCATTTGAGGAGAATTTCTTTATATATTTTCAGATTTGTCATATATCGACCACAACGGGGATACAACATAATGACTTTATACAAAAGTGGAATGAAATCGAACAGGTATAAGATAAATTATATCTTGGTACTATCTATATATATATTTAGGAAATAGATATCAATTCTGTGTGCATTGTTGTAGAATAATGCACGGTTTGAGTTCAAATGCGTAGTAATATAATCACGAAAGCCGATAGTGTCTGAGTGTTTAAGTACAAAGCATTTGAACGCAAAACGTGCATTATTATACAATAATGCACGAAGAAATAAGATCTATTTCCAATCTAACACGTCAATAAAAATATAATTATCATTATAAAGTTGGACTTTATGTTTGGTGATTAAATTTGCTTTCGCCCGAGAGTTTCCAATAGAAACGTTCTTTAAAGGCCGTTCCAGTGGGTTGAAAATACCTGTCGTTAAATCTACCGTGTGTAGAAACATTTTGAGAATAACGAATTTTGAAAACGTTGATAAAACTTTGTTTGTTTATTTTATTGCAGTCTATAATTTTCCAAGCGAAATACAAATTATTAAAGGTGAAAAAAATGTAAAGCTTAACTCGTTTGTGACATTAAAATAGCGTACTTGATTTTATTGTTTTGCACGTGCAGTTTTGCCGTACATTGTGACGTCACGTAAACAACACTTTAAACGTATGTACAGCGTTAACGACTGAATAAAAGATATTGGTGTTCGATTTATTTTCTTAGTTAGACCATTTTCTTTCATTCTAGATAGTTTTCACAACAAAATTCGACAAAAAATTGTTTTCATTTATCAGATTTTTCAAACAAAATGGCGCCGTCAATGTGAAAATACACAGGGAGATAATAAGAACGGCGAGTGCATTGTTTAAGAAATAATTTATCCCAAACAGTGATTTTATCGCTCAATAACATCACTGTTTGGAGTTCGGATGCGAGGAAGTATATCACGAGGGCATAGCCCGAGTGATATAATGATGCGCATCCGAACGACAAACAGTGATGTTATCAAGCGATAAAATCACTTATTTGGATATATTATTTCGATTCTAACACAACATAAACAATAAATAATGCCGTACCTGCTAATAAGCTAAATTGCACATGATTTGTTTCCGTACTTATTTTCAGCGCGTCGCATTTTTAGTGGTTACGTCACATGTATATAATGATTACGTCATAAGTCTAAATATAGAACGTCAACAGTGACTTTGTTGCATAATAATACACACTTTCGGTTCTTCTATGTTCAAAAGGGAAAATGCGGGTCGTGTTAGAATTAGGAAATATATATCAATTCTGAGTGCATTGTTGTAGAATAATGCACGGTTTGAGTTCAAATGCGTAGTAATATAATCACGAAGGCCGATAGGCCTGAGTGATTAATTACAAAGCATTCGAACGAAAAACGTGCATTATTATACAATAATGCACGAAGAATTAATATCTATTTCCATTATTACACGTCAAGAAAAGATATAATTATTATTATAAAGTTGGACTTTATGTTTGGTGGTTTAATTTGTTTTCGCCCGAGAGTTTCCATTAGAAACGTTATTTATAGGCCGTTCCAGTGGGTTGAAAAAAACTGTCGTTAAATCTACCGTGTGTAGAAACATTTTCAGAATAACGAATTTTGAAAACGTTGATAAAACTTTGTTTGTTTATTTTATTTCAGTCTATAATTGTCCAAGCGAAATACAAATTATTAAAGGTGAAAAAAATGTAAAACTTAACTCGTTTGTGACATTAAAATAGCGTACTTGATTTTATTGTTTTGCACGTGCTGTTTTGCGCTACATTGTGACGTCACGTAAACAACACTTTAAACGTCTGTACAGCGTTAACGACTGAATAAAAGATATTGGTGTTCGATTTATTTTCTTAGTTAGACCATTTTCTTTCATTCTAGATAGTTTTCACAACAAAATTCGACAAAAAATTGTTTTCATTTATTAGAATTTTCAAACAAAATGGCGCCGTCAATGTGAAAATACACAGGGAGATAATAAGAACGGCGAGTGCATTGTTTAAGAAATAATTTATCCCAAACAGTGATTTTATCGCTCAATAACATCACTGTTTGGAGTTCGGATGCGAGGAAGTATATCACGAGGGCATAGCCCGAGTGATATAATGATGCGCATCCGAACGACAAACAGTGATGTTATCAAGCGATAAAATCACTTATTTGGATATATTATTTCGATTCTAACACAACATAAACAATAAATATTGCCGTACCTGCTAATAAGCTAAATTGCACATGATTTGTTTCCGTACTTATTTTCAGCGCGTCGCATTTTTAGTGGTTACGTCACATGTATATAATGATTACGTCATAAGTCTAAATATAGATCGTCAACAGTGACTTTGTTGCATAATAATACACACTTTCGGTTCTTCTATGATCAAAAGGGAAAATGCGGGTCGTGTTAGAATTAGGAAATATATATCAATTCTGAGTGCATTGTTGTAGAATAATGCACGGTTTGAGTTCAAATGCGTAGTAATATAATCACGAAGGCCGATAGGCCTGAGTGATTAATTACAAAGCATTTGAACGAAAAACGTGCATTATTATACAATAATGCACGAAGAATTAATATCTATTTCCATTCTAACACGTCAAGAAAAGATATAATTATTATTATAAAGTTGGACTTTATGTTTAGGAAATAGATATCAATTCTGAGTGCATTGTTGTAGAATAATGCACGGTTTGAGTTCAAATGCGTAGTAATATAATCACGAAGGCCGATAGGCCTGAGTGATTAATTACAAAGCATTTGAACGAAAAACGTGCATTATTATACAATAATGCACGAAGAATTAATATCTATTTCCATTCTAACACGTCAAGAAAAAATATAATTATTATTATAAAGTTGGACTTTATGTTTGGCGGTTAAATTTGTTTTCGCCTTAGAGTTTCCAATAGAAACGTTCTTTAAAGGCCGTTCCAGTGGGTTGAAAAAAAACTGTCGTTAAATCTACCGTGTGTAGAAACATTTTGAGAATAACGAATTTTGAAAACGTTGATAAAACTTTGTTTGTTTATTTTATTGCAGTCTATAATTTTCCAAGCGAAATACAAATTATTAAAGGTGAAAAAAATGTAAAGCTTAACTCGTTTGTGACATTAAAATAGCGTACTTGATTTTATTGTTTTGCACGTGCAGTTTTGCGCTACATTGTGACGTCACGTAAACAACACTTTAAACGTCTGTACAGCGTTAACGACTGAATAAAAGATATTGGTGTTCGATTTATTTTCTTAGTTAGACCATTTTCTTTCATTCTAGATAGTTTTCACAACAAAATTCGACAAAAAAATGTTTTCATTTATCAGATTTTTCAAACAAAATGGCGCCGTCAATGTGAAAATACACAGGGAGATAATAAGAACGGCGAGTGCATTGTTTAAGAAATAATTTATCCCAAACAGTGATTTTATCGCCCAGTAACATCACTGTTTGGAGTTTGGATGCGAGGAAGTATATCACGAGGGCATAGCCCGAGTGATATAATGATGCGCATCCGAACGACAAACAGTGATGCTATCAAGCGATAAAATCACTTATTTGGATATATTATTTCGATTCTAACACAACATAAACAATAAATATTGCCGTACCTGCTAATAAGCTAAATTGCACATGATTTGTTTCCGTACTCATTTTCAGCGCGTCGCATTTTTAGTGGTTACGTCACATGTATATAATGATTACGTCATAAGTCTAAATATAGAACGTCAACAGTGACTTTGTTGCATAATAATACACACTTTCGGTTCTTCTATGTTCAAAAGGGAAAATGCGGGTCGTGTTAGAATTAGGAAATATATATCAATTCTGAGTGCATTGTTGTAGAATAATGCACGGTTTGAGTTCAAATGCGTAGTAATATAATCACGAAGGCCGATAGGCCTGAGTGATTAATTACAAAGCATTCGAACGAAAAACGTGCATTATTATACAATAATGCACGAAGAGTTAATATCTATTTCCATTCTTACACGTCAAGAAAAGATATAATTATTATTATAAAGTTGGACTTTATGTTTGGTGGTTTAATTTGTTTTCGCCCGAGAGTTTCCAATAGAAACGTTCTTTAAAGGCCGTTCCAGTGGGTTGAAAAAAACTGTCGTTAAATCTACCGTGTGTAGAAACATTTTGAGAATAACGAATTTTGAAAACGTTGATAAAACTTTGTTTATTTTATTGCAGTCTATAATTTTCCAAGCGAAATACAAATTATTAAATGTGAAATATATGTAAAACTTAACTCGTTTGTGACATTAAAATAGCGTACTTGATTTGATTTTTTTGCACGTGCTTTTTGGCGCTACATTGTAACGTCGCGTAAACAACACTTTAAACGACTGTACAGCGTTAACGACTGAATTAAAGATAATGGTGTTTGGATTCATTTTCTTAGTTAGGCCATTTTCTTTCATTCTAGATAGTTTTCACAACAAAATTCGACAAAAAATTGTTTTTATTTATCAGGTTTCAATGTGAAAATACATAGGGAGATAATAAAAACAGCGAGTGCATTGTTGTAGAATAATGCACGCTTCGGGCCTTCTTTGTTTACATAGAAAAAATTCTGATAGTGTTAGAATGTAGAATAATGCACGCTTTGGGCCTTCTTTGTTTATATAGAAAAAAATCCGATAGTGTTAGAATGAATAGTTATTCAATATTTCTCTCGTAGAGCAGAGGAGGTTGGTTATTTTATAATCTGCAAACTGATGAAAATGATTCATTTGTAAACCAAAGAAAACACATATAGTTATTTTAGCCTCACAAAAATATTTGTTGTTTATATCTGCAATGTTATTCTTCTTTACCTAAATGTATTAACATATAATATAGCTTTACCCGATATCATTATTGCTTTTTTATGGAATCATTATTGTGCGATTTTCATTATTATGATATCAACTGAAGAATTATTACATGTAGTTTGCTCTAATAAAGACTCCAAATAAAAATTAGATAGCACTATACTTTTCTTTCGACTAATATATGCTATCTATCATTACACATATGTATAATATTATGCGAAATATCTCAAAAAGATTTCAAACATTT